GCTGCTGAATACATAAACAAAATATCATATATTATACATGTATTGATAAATGTATATTTCAATGCATATACATTTTAGCCGATTTTTAATCTATCTCTGTGCTAAAATGATACATTTACAAAGTCTCATGAGCTATATATTTTATCACATTCATAAGATGAGTATATGTATATATAATTTCAAATTAGCTTTTCTTCCGTTTTCAGCCCAGACACAAATATGAGTGCAAATGCTAGCTCTGTGGCCCTGGGCTAGTCACTTGACCTCTATGAGACCATATTAGTGAAATGTGGGAATAATAGTTACCGTACAGAACTGTAGAATTAAATGAGATGAACTATATAAAACGCTTAACACTAGGCTGGCACAGTGTCAGTTCTAAACAAATCCTACCCAGTATTATTGTTTGTCTTTTCGGAGTTTTATTTGCAAACCTAGGAGTTTCCTAACACTCAGGGGTGAGGAGAGGGGAGCCATTTTGCGCCGTGGAGAGGGCCACTTCGCAGTCTGGCTGGCTGACTCCCAATCTGTCACTTCATCTCTCAGAACCTTGGTTGCCAAAGTCTGTGAAGGAGGACACTGTTTGTCATCTCGCCGGACTTGCTGTGATTAGGGAAATTGTATTAAAGTGCTTTGTAAACTACACAATGCCATAAAAAACCTAAAGTGCTCTGTGAGCATAGCTGTCTGTTCCCATCGCGGCGCTTTTAGAAGAACCTGAATAACCAACTACTGCACCCCTCAGATTAAAAGGACCCCTTTCATGGCCACGGGGGTGGCAGCCAGTCACTTCAACATGAACTTGTATTCCCCTGTGGTTTGAATACAAAGTGAAAACCTGTGCCTCTCCCTGTCGGAGACCGCTCTGCCTGTCCTCAGGAGCTATCAGGCGCAGCTAAATCTGTCCCTGGCCAGTGTGTGCATAATCCCCACTGGTTCTGAGACCTCCATCCACCACTGATGTGACATTCTTTGTGTTCAAATGTCTAGCTGACGTCTGATGCTTAAAACAGCCCATGCCTTCACCCCCGCCGCATTGTCACAGCTTGTATCACCCTCTTAAAAGGCTATCGCAGCCGCTCCCAGCACCAGTTGCTGGCCAGCCTGCCCCTGGCCGCCTCGCCTGCTCCTGGCTGCCTTGCATGCCCGGGTCCTCAAGCTCCTTGTGCGTCTGACCAAACAGGGACCATGTCTACCTTCGGCTACAGGAGAGGACTTAGCAAATATGAATCCATCGACGAGGACGAGCTCCTGGCTTCCCTGACGGCCGAGGAGCTGAAGGAGCTGGAGAGGGAGTTGGAGGACATTGAACCTGATCGCAACCTGCCAGTGGGGCTCCGACAGAAGAGTCTGACGGAGAAGACCCCCACGGGGAATTTCAGCAGGGAGGCGCTGATGGCCTATTGGGAAAAGGAGTCCCAGAAGCTGCTGGAGAAGGAGCGGCTGGGGGAGTGTGGGAAGGTAGGCTTTCCGGACCTTTCCTTGGCTGCTCCCCGGCCCCCTCCACCCCCTCCCCAACCCTAGGAACCTGCTTTCTCTGCCTCTGCAGTCCTCCTCACTTTTCTGTCCTTATAACCTGCTACTGAACACTGTCTCGGCCTGAAATAGTCCTGTAAGTTCTATGGCCACCCGAAGGATCGTAATCTGTAAAATGATTGCCTGGGGTTCTAATAATTGGCTAAAGATGGAATCTTCAAGAAGAAAATAGTTCACAAGTAAGGCATAGGTTTAGATAGTTTGCCAAACGTAAGTCTAATTTGAGTTATAAGCT